ACCCTCTTCCTATCCTCTCGAGCCAAAGGGATTTGGTGATACCCTTGGGATGCATCCATAAGGCTAAGCAATTCACAACCCGCGGTAGAATCGACCAACTGGTCAATCCTAGGCAATGGGTACAGATCTTTCGGACACGCCTTGTTTAAGTCACAAAAATCAATACACATCCTCCACTTCCCCCCAGACTTAGACACCATCACCGTGTTCGACAACCATTCAGGGAACTGGATTTCTTTAACATGGCCCGCCTTCAGCAACTTCTCAACCTCCTGCTCGATCACCTTATCCATCTCCGCGCCATGGTGTCGCCTTTTTTGTCTCACTGGTCTCACCGTTAAGTCGATGTTCAAACGGTGTTCTATCACCTCCGCCCTTATCCCTGTTAACTCCTCAGCCGTATACGCAAAAACATCCGCGAACTCTCTGATCAACGCAATCAACTTCGATCTTATGGGCTCCTCCATCTCCTTACCTATCCGAAATTTCCTCTCTTCGCACCCTTCTACCATTTGGACCTCCTCAATCTCCCCTCCTGGCTGCATCTCCACCTTTTCTTTCCCCTTGTCCGCTCTTTCCTTCTCTTCTTTCGACCTCGAGCCCCCAGGTCGGCTCGGTACTCCCTCCTCCAACTTCGCTCGTTTCCTTGAGAGCTGCTTATTATTGCTCACCGTGGTCTGGTAGCAACTCCTCGAGGTAAGCTGATCTCCTGCGACCTCACCAACGTTTTCCCCTACCGGATATTTGATCGTCATGTGGTATGTCGACACGACCGCCTGGAAAGCATTTACGCTAGTCCTTCCCATAATAATGTTGTACGAGGATTCCGCTCCAACGACCACAAACCTTACCATTCGCACCTTCCTCGTCACCCCTTGCCCTAAGGCAACAGGGAGGCTTACCTCTCCCATCGGCATCACCTCGCCTCCGTTGAATCCATATAAGGCTGTGGTCACCGGCTTCAGGTCAAGGTTGAGCTCCTTGTTTATCTGCACAAAACAATCATAAAACATTACATCAACCGAACTCCCCGTGTCAATAAACACCCTCTTTACGTCGAAACCCGCCACTTCCGTCGTTATCACCAGGGCATCATTGTGGGGCAACACTACTCCCTCTGCATCTTCCGCCCGAAAACTTATCTCCGGCATTCGAGCAGTGATCCCCACCTCCTCTCTTTCCTCTTTATTGCTCCAACATGACCTTTCCTTGCATTGTTCGAGTCCCCATCTGTTGGTCCCCCCGAGATCATGTAAATCGTTCCTCTCTTCACCGGGCCTTGATCTCCCTGGCCTCCTCGATCTTGACTTCCTCGTCTCCTCTTGACTCCTCGATCACCCCTTCCATGTCGAGGACCGCCTTCCTCATCATCATCTCGATCACTCCGCTCCACCGAATCCTCTCGACATTTTCCTTTATCCTTCCCCTTCGCCTTCCCTTCGCACACGAACTCCTTCAGATACCCTGCCCTGATCAGGCGCTTGATCTCATCCTTGAGGTGTCTGCACTCCTCCGTTTTGTGTCCATAATCTTTATGAAAATGGCAATACTTGTTCGACCTGGACTGTGTCGGCCCCTCCCGCCTCGACTTCGGCCACGTCACATCCCTGTCCCCTATCTTCCTCTCAATGGCCATCAGCACCTCGCCCATCCGCGCATTAAGGGGCGTAAAGTGTTGGAATCGCTTTCCCCTCAGTACTGGTCGATCCTTCCACCTGTCTTCTCGCCCTCGATCAGTCCGGCCACGCCCCTCTCTCCTAGGCGATCTCCGACCCGGTGATACTCTTCGAGGCGAGCTTATCCTCCCCTTCTTTGGCTCCGGCTTAGCCAACCCTTCCAACTTAGCAAACTCAGCCTCCGTTTCCTCCAAATTAATGTACTTCTTACACCTTTTTAGCACATCATCATACGTACGAGCAGGGGTTTTAGCTAAAGATGTGCGACAAGGCCCTGCTCGCAAACTCCGTATCAACCCTCCAGCCTTCACCTCGTCCGAGGCCGTGGGGATCTCCAAACAAGTTTGATTGTATTCCGCGACATACTTACGCAATGATTCCTTCTCCCCTTGCCTCATAGCCATCAACGTCAGATACGTCTTTTCCTGTGCCACCGCACTCGCGTATTGGGTCATCAGCTTTTCCGAAAAATCATCAAAGTCCTTGATCGATCCATGAGGGAGTTGCTGAAACCAGTCGAGCGCGCCTCCCCTCAAGGTCGACAAGAATGCCCTGCAGCTAACCGAGTCAGAATAACCATGCAACATAGCCAAATTCTCAAACACCCTTACATGCCTCGACGGGTCAGTGGTCCCATCGAACATCAAACTCATGTCTCTAAAATTCGCGGGTAAATGGCGCAGCCAATATATCCCTCGAGAACGGATGTCCTCGAGCACGTCTTTCAGGTCGACCATCTATCTTAGCCTGCATCTGCCTCACCTGCTCCGCGAGCCGCTCCACCTCGCGATCTCTTAGGGCCCCATCTCCCCCATAGCTCGACACATCCTCATCCACCATCGTTGGCCCAGCAGCCACTCGTGAAAGGCTTTGACTGACCTGTTGAACCGCTTGTGCCGCCGCGTTCACCACCATCTGCTGCATCTCCTGCCTTGTCATCACCACCTGTTGGCCGGGACGCTGTTCGTCCATCGGCAGCGGTGCCGCTCCTTGTACCGCCACTCCTCGCTGCAGCGCCGCAGCCAGATCTGGTTGCGGCGGGGTTGGGGCCGCCGCGCCTTGAGCTGTGCGGGTCTCCTGGGCCCGATTTGAGCCCACATCAGCCTCTGGTTGCACCGACGTGACTTCTACACCTTGGGGAACAGGCGTCGGAGTCACCGGTGTACGCAAGGGTCCAGAGAAGCCCGGAGGTGGGCCATCTCCGAACGGTCTCGTCATCGTCCACGCCTCATCGAACGATGCCTGTAAATCTCTCCTAGGAATCCCGTCCGCCATAGCTACCAAGCTTAAAAAATCTCAGCACACCACTTTTCGAACGAAAGTCCCACAGACGGCGCCAAATGGTAACGCAAAGCACTCCAACCGGCTTGGAATCGGTTTGCTTCCTTCTTCCCCGCCGATAGAACGCCGCGCTCCTGCACAGAACTCTCACACCGGAGGGGTTTTCCGGTGAAGAGCCTCCGATGCTTAAGTCAGTATATGTTTGTTAAATTTTCCAAAGTAAAGAATGGATAAATCGTAAACCCTAAGAAAAGACCCACTCCTCTATATATAGGAGTGAAATACCTACCCTAAGAGCTGCCCAGCTATTTGGTGAGCTGTCCTGCCCGCGCTGCCCCTCCGTACACACACAGTACGTGTATTGTCAAAAATGTCAGGGATGTCAGAGGTGGTTATTGCCACTATTACTCTGCACCACTAGGTTCTCGCCAGGTGTCCCCTTTTGAGCTGAGGGGAAATATTCCCTCGCGTGGGCCGTTGGGATCTCTTGGTATCACCCACGCGCGTACTCACGTTCAGGTCATGCTCTCGACGGCCTCCTTCCTGCTACGTGCTCGATATGATCGAGCTCCCCCTCGCTAGGCCGATCCTCGACCAACCCTGTCATTCTGCTCGATCTCTTCTGCTTTGGTCGATCATCCTTCAACCCACGTGGTTTTCTCCCAACTTATGCCGGTTTGACCGACGCGATGGGCCGGTCTGTTCTTTAGTCGTATGATATCCCATATCACATATTAACTATTACAAATATATCATTACATAAACCCCTATAAGTATATGTTGCCGAATATAATTTTTTATATTATGATTCAATTTATGAATAAATATATAATAAATATGATGTATAAAAATAAATATGATGTATAAAAATAAAATAATATATTTCCTAATTATATATAACTGCATTCTTTTAGTTTTATTTTTATATAAGTATTTAATATATCTAATTAAATAATAAATAAAAGTAAGTTTTTAAATTTTTATTTGAATTTTATTTTTAAAATAATTTTATTTAATATATTTTAATAATGATTTATAATATATATTATATATTTATTTTTATTATTATTTGTTAATTTTATTTTTTGAAAAATTGATTCGTATCAACATGGGAATGAGAAAATCTTCCATTAATTATGAAATGGCTAATCTCATGGAGATGGGTTTTGTCATTCCCATTGGAATGATAATTCCTTTCCAAAAAATATAACAATTATGGGATAAGGAATTACTGAGGGAATGATCATTCCATTCTCACGTCATTCCTTCTTACCAATAATACAAACGTACATGTCAACATCATTTAGAAGACTTACCAAATTTTCTCTCTCTATCTCCGAACATCAAAGAGAAGAGAGTTGATAGGCTTCTGCTGAAGGCAGTTTTCTCGCCAATTCGCCGGTCGAGTGTGGCGTAGGGTGTAATTTCTCCAATCAGTGGTTCTTGGCTTCAGATCGTGAATCAAGGTGTGTCAACCATGGATTCAATTGACATAGCAAGGTTAGTTGAGAAAATGAAGAAAGCCCAGGTTGGGGAGGAAGACAAAGTAGTAATTGAAAGTGCTGTGATTGATAATGAAACTGATCGTATTAGTCGATGCTTAGTGGTTAAAGTCTTTTCTTCCAAGCCGGTTAATCGAGAGGTATTCAAGCAACAAACGCTGAGGATTCTGAATCTTGCAAAAGGGGCTGAAATCGAATCTGTAGGGAGAATTTATTTATCATGGAATTCAGATCCTTGCTTGACAGAAGAAGAACCCTATCGGAAGGGCCATGGAACCTGTTCAGGAACTTAGTCTTGTTCAAGGAAATCCAAGGACTCCAACACCCTCGAGAAATATCATTTGATTCGATAAGTATTTAGATTCAACTGCATAATCTTCCTCTTGCGTTTATGAATAAGAGGTCATTAGAATCAATTGCAAATGTTTGCGTGGTTATCGAAATCGATGAAGGCGAAAGGGGTAATTTTTGGGGTCGTTTTGCTCGTGTTCGGGTGGCTTTTAAATTATCTAACCCTCTGAAAAAATTTGTTAGTGTTTGAATGGAGAATCAAACAGAGTGTGAGACCTCTAGTGGCGACCGAGAAAATCCTCCGTTCGGTGCTTGGCTGAAAGCGTAGAATCATTATGCAGGGAAGAAGAATCGAGAAGAGGGTCGAGCTTCTCCCAGGAGTTCTCCAGCTGGGTCATCCTCTTCGAGCCGAGATCCGAGAAAGTTATTAAAACGAGATGTGCACAATCCGAGTAGGGAATGCCATAGCCCGATTAATCCTGACAGCGATCCGAGCATAATGGAGGTTATTAGAAATACTGAGAAAAGTGATGCTATCCCTCACCTGCTTCCAGAAGAGAATTATCTAATGGTCGCAAAAATGATGAAGTGTGAGAAATCGGTACAGACTGACCAGGAGGTAGACATGTTGAAAGAGTTAGAGGGTCAAACTACCCCTTCTAAATCTACTACAGGAGTCAGGATCATACCAGATTTCCAACCAGTTACGAAGATGATCCAGAAAGAGGACGGGAAGAGAAGTATGATTTCTCCAGAACGAAGACCAAAAAAATGGAGCAGGCTGGATAGTAGGGATAATCGGAGTGACTCTGAAAACATTTGTAACACTCCAGAAGGTAATCGTGGAGGATAAACGATGCTGGAAAGAACATTTCCATGTTATTATTAAGTCCTTCTCATCAGGTTATATTAATTGTGTAATCGTGGAGGATAATCGATGCTGGAGATTTACGGGTTTCTACGGAGATCCAAAAACTGCTGACAGAAAATTTTCTTGGGAATTATTACGCAAACTTCATCAACAGGTGGATATTTGTCATCTCCGCTGGCTGGTTTGAGGTAATTTCAACGAAATTTGCTTTAGTACTGAAAAGAGCGGAGGTAGACCCCAGTCTTCTGCTCAAAGGATGCTTTACGAGAAGTGCTAGATTTTTGTGAACTTCGAACAATCTTCAGTGAAGGGGACCCGTTTACTTGGGTTAACCGGTGAAGGGCAAAAAATATAATATTTGAAAAGCTGGATAGGTTTGTTGGGACCTCTACGTGGTGTGATCTTTACCCAGCTGCTCGAGCCTGTAATCTTGAATTTTTTGGATCTAACCACAAGCCAATTGAAATTACGCTTGGCGAGAGAACAAGGCTAGTAATCAGAGGTAAAGTTTTCTTTCGGTTTAAATCTTGTTGGTTAAGCGAAGAGAACTTTGGAAGTTTTGTGAAAGAAGGATGGCGAATGGCTGATACCTCCTGCCCAATTACTACAAAATTGGCAACTTGCAGTGATTTCATCACAGCTTGGGCGGGGTCTTAGTTCCGAAAATTATCAAAGAATATTAAACAAAGAAGGGATAAACTCAATCTTCTGTCAACCTCAAATTTATGTGATTTATTCGCAGAATTATTCGATTTGTTCGAGGAGAATTATTTGATTTGCTCGAGATATTACTTAATTTGTTCGTGGAATTACTTGGTTTGTTCGAGAAAAATTATGTGATTTATTCGCGGAATTATTCGATTTGATCGAGGAGAATTATTTGATTTGCCCGAGATATTATTTGATATATTCGTGGAGGTTTTTTTTTTCCCAAAACGGCAGGAGCAACTATTATAAGACTCGAAAGCGAACAATGTTCGAATACAACCGGAAACTGAGAACACCGAAACGTGAGAGACACGTCACAGACGGTCTAGAGCCTCGACTAGGATACAATAATACTCAAACACCAACTACAGAAAAAGGAAAGAAAGTAACCATCACCACTGCTAAAAGCCTAGCAACAAGTTACAATCTTCTAGACAAAAACTAAGCAGACCACAAGGACACATAAAAACAGAAATAAGAACCAAAACAAAATAAAGAAACTAGACAGCAGCTTAGAATAGTAGCCAATCTGAGTGCGCCATTCTGACCAACACATTGTCTGGTATGAAGGTCTTTTGAAATATCCATAAGTTTCTGGACTTCCAAAGCTACCAAAGCATGTATGTGGAGAGTTGAATTATTGCTTCGACCACTTCAGAATGGTCCAGTGAGCAGACTTTATACCACCAATCATTGAAAGACATGTCCCTTCTGCTAAGATCATTCCATTGAACTGGACAAAGTTTCCAAACATTCACAGCTCTTGGGCATGAGACAAATAGATGCTGCAGGGTTTCTTGTTCTTCACCACAGATTGGACAGGTTATATCAATGCTCATTCCTCTTTTCCAGATATTTGTAGCAACTGGAAGAGTGCCACTGAGGCATTTCCACATAAAGAATTTAAGCTTAGGTGCAATTTTTAAGTGTCAGAACCTCATGTTAGCAGAATTTTTGAGATTAGAGGATCTACTGCTTTCAGGAATATCAGCCTGCAGGAACTTTAGATGAGAAAGATGCTTATAAGTACTGGACACTGAGAAGACTCCTTTTTTATCCAAGCCCCAATAATATCTATCACTTCTGTCTGGATTCAGAGTGCCTATGTCCAGAATAGCTTTGTTATAATCTTCCTCAAAAACCTGTTGGACAAGCCAGTCATTTCATTGTGAGCCATTGGACTGCAGCAACTCCCTAACCCAGATTAAATGACCCCTAGCAATAGGGATTAAGGTAGGGGAAGGCTTCTGCAGCTTTGGAACCCAATAATGATCATCAATTCTGGTTGACATCCCATTTCTAATCTCAATTCTGAACCATTTATCAAACAATAGCATAACATCCATCCAACTATTCCACATCCAGGACCCACCTTGGATTTTTTTTGCATTCACAATGGAAGAGTGGGGAAAGTACTTGTCTTTAAGAACTCTGCTCCACTAGGAGGTCTGGGTTAGAGGCCACTCTCCACAATTGCTTGCAGATAAGAGCTTTGTTAAACAGTTGGAGATCATGGAAACCAAGGCCACCTGAGTGTTTTGGGAGTGTTAGAAAACTCCATTTTTTCCAGAAGATGCCCTGACCTACTTCAGAATTTGACTTCCACCAGAAGTGGGCACAAAGTTTGGCTATATCTGCACATAGAGTGATTGGCAGCTTGAAACAAGACATAGAAAATATTGGCAGTGCCTGGATTACTGCCTTCAAGAGTACAGCTTTACCAGCTGAACTGAGAAGCTTGCCCTGCCAACCAGAGAGTTTATTCCTGACAGCCTGGAAAAGATAGTCAAAGACTTCTCTCTTATTTTTTCCAATGCCTAGAGGAAGTCCAAGATACCTAGTGGACCTGTGGGTAACAATGCCATTTAGAGTAGAACAAATGGTGGATTGAAGATTCTGAGGAGTGTTCTTGCTAAAGAAAATTGCTGATTTGTTTAAATTGACTGCTTGGCCTGTGAAGAGCCTGTACTGTTCAAGGATACTCATTAGGATGGTAGCTTGATCATTTCCAGCCTTGCAGAAGAAGAGTGAATCATCTGCAAATAAGATATGAGAGAGCATGGGGCCATTCCTAGAGATTTTCATCCCTTTGAGCAGTCTAATATTGACAGAGTTTAGAATTAAAGCAGATAATAGCTCAACAACAATAATAAAGAGGTAAGGGGATAAGGGATCCCCTTTCCTAATGCCTCTGGATGGGGACACATAGCCACTGAGAGAACCATTTATTTTGAAAGAGAAAGTTGCAGATGAGACACATATCATGATCAGCTTCACAAAATCCATGTGGAAACCCATTTGCAGCATGATTTTCTTTAAACATAACCATTCCACACGATCAAAAGCTTTTATCAAGTCCAATTTCAGAGCCATGAAAAAATTAGGGCCAGAGGTGTGCCTATTCAAAAAGTGGAAGGCTTCTTGGGCAATAATCACATTGTCTACAAGTTGTCTACCCTCTACAAATGCAGCTTGGTAAGAATTGATGCAGTTTGTCAAGCAACTCTTTAATCTTAGAGCCAGAAGCTTAGATATCATCTTATAAACAACACAACATAAACTTATTGGCCTGAACTGCCCTAAATTGTCAGGAGTTGGACATTTTGGAATTAGAGAGATGACTGTGTGATTCCAGTATTTGAGAATCTTACCTGAGTTGAAAAAGCTTGCAACTGCTGCTAAAATGTCTTGCTTGATAAGAGGCCAGAAGTGCTGGTAGAAGGCCGCTGTCAGGATTTAGACTGAAAAGAGAGTTCTCAACCTCCTCTTCTTCAACTGGTTTGAGCAAAGCTTGGTTCATTTCAGAAGTTATAGAAGTAGGGATGAGAGGAAGAATGGATTCTCCACCCCAGCATCCTTCAGAGGAGAATAAGTTTGAGTAAAACTCTTCAATATGCTTCTCTATCTCCCTTTGAGTGGTGAAGATGTGGCCTTGGTGAGAGGTCAGCCTGGTGATAGCATTGTATCTCCTTTTTTGCAATGTAAGAGTGTGAAAGAACATGGTGTTGACATCCCCATCCTTCAGCCATTCGGATTTGGCCTTTTGCTGCTAGTACAATTCTTCCTGCCTGTGAGCCTGGTTCAATGATCTTCTGGTTGACTCCCATTCCTCCCAATTAATGGCTGCTTTGTTCTGATTCAGAGTTTCAAGCTTTGCATTAAGAGTAGCAATGGTTTTCTGTCTCTCTGAGTGGAAGGGGGAACTCTATTTCAGCAGTGCTACTCTTGTGATCTTGACTTTCTCTTTGAGCTGGAAAAAAGGAGTGCCTTGTACTTCTGAAAGCCAAGCTTGCTTGACTACCTCTTTACAACCCTCCCTTGTCAATCATCTTTTGTCAAAATGGAAGCTAGTCTTTATCCTTTCTCTTGGTAGTCCCGAACTAAGAACTAGGGCAGAGTGGTCAGAGGCACTTCTGATCAGATTAGTGACTGTTGCATTTGGGTGCAGCTGGTTCCAGTCCAGTGAGCCAAAAGCTCTATCCAGTTTTTCTTTTACTAAGTCGGGGTGAGCTCTGTTGTTACTCCATGTAAAAGAGGGCACTAGCATTTGAATCTCCTCCATAGCCATGTCTCTGACAAAGTTTGTGAACCCTGTGAATGAATTAGGAGTTCTGAGATTGCCCCCTTGCTTATCACCATTTGATAGAATGTCATTCCTGTCTCTTATGGCAAATCAGCTGTTCCCCCAGGAATGTTTATCATTGAGCAGGTCTTCCCATTGATCAATTCTGAGACTTTTAATGGGGTTAAGATAGACAAAAATTCCCCATTGAGGAGAAGAAGTGGACAACAAAAATTCAATAGCTATATAAAATTCCTTGCATATAATTTGCTTAATAATTACTTGGGAATTCCAGAACAAAACTAGTCCACCACTGCAGCCCAAAGGGTCCACTGTGATGAATCTATCTGCAAAACCCAGCTTATTACTAACTGTATTCACAAAGGCTTTTGATTTTTTTGTTTCTGAAAGGAAGAGAAAAGTTGGGTGATGAGTTCTTTGCAACTCTCTGATTTGGGAAATTGTAGAGGGCCCATCCAGCCCTCTACAATTCCACACCACAGCTAACATTGACCACTTGGGTGCCATTCAAGGCTGGCAACCCCCACCTTTTCAGAATCTTCTTGTGGTTTTTCTAGTACATCTTGCTTAAGAATTTTTGAGACTTTGGATGAAGATGGGAGCTCACATTCTGCAGAGGTTCTCTTCAGTCTTGAGACATTATCAATCACAATTGGTATAACAGGTTCCCTGAGCAATCTGCCTGACTTGTTCCTTAAACTTTTCCATGTTTTTGCAGGTCCAGTGGGTTTCTGCTCTATCTGAGGAAGGATTGGAGAAGGCTCAGCGATTTCTAACTCCATCAATGTTGTTTTTCCTATATCTGCTGGACTAGGGTCAACCAACTCCACATCTGGGGTTGGAGTTTTGTTTTGAGAAGAGATAGATAATGCTGTAGATACCTTGACAGAAGAGGGAGAGGATTGAGGGTCCACTGATGCTTGCATTGAGTGAGAGGGATCAACTGTGAGGATAGGAATAATTTGGTTATTTTGTTCTGCCAGATTTGAGGATGCTCTTTGTGCTCTTCTTAGCTCAGAATCAGGTGTGGGGGATGGAGGAGAGGAGCTTCTGTTTTTTGATTGACTTCCTCCTAACCACTTCTGCCCTTCAGTGGCCTTCAGCCAATCACCGTATTGACCCTCTTTAAGAGCTTTGTTTTTAATATCTTGGATTCTTTCCTGACAAGTTCTTTCCAAATGCCCTATTTTGCCACAGTAGTGGCACAGGTTCATGAGCTTTTCATACTTAAAACCCACAGTCACCACATCTTCACCTAAACGGATATGTGCTAATCTGGGAATTGGTTCTTCCAGATTCAAGGTAGCAAGGAGCCTAAGCATCTTATCTCCATGATTAGCATTGTTCATAATGACCACATTATTCACTTCCTTAAAAGTATTACCTATCTTCAATCCCACATCAGCGCTTACCCAGTTAAGAGGTAGATTTGTTACCTGTACCCATAAGCTAATCTCACTGAAGCTGGGATGTTTGCTGTTGAGATTGCGAGACCATTCTCTAAGGATTAGATATTGGTTTTCGAAACTCCAATTTGAACCACCCGCTACCCGGTTTTTATCTTCTTTGCTTTTGAAGATGAACTGAAAGTAGTTCGGGCTGAGTTCTTTCACCTCCATCTGCTGGTTCAGCCGCCATATTTGTGTCATTGCTCGTTTTACACCGAACCAACCCGCGACTCTGTCCCTATCACTTTCCCAAATAAACTTCTTTGGCATTCATCATCGCTCAATCGAATATCTTCCTTGGCAATATCTATTACGTTAATTTCCCTTTCGGACAAAGAGAAATCATTCAACCTAGATGATAGCTCATCATCAGGGTGAGTATGAAAGTTGCCCGCCATAAGTGGAGCCCTAAAAATGGGAGAGGAAACGACTGGAAATAGTTCCTCCGCAACACTATCAACGACGACAGAATCTGTAATTCACGAAACCAGCTGACCACTTGAGAAATCTAGGCTAGAATCAAAGACTGAGATCGCTCCCAACGAGAGAATCTTGAGCGCCTAACGAGAGAATTATTGCCTACTGTATTTGATATATTTGTGGAGTATTTTTGATTTATTCGTGGAGAATATTTGATACATTCAGGGAGATTATTTGATATATTCGTGGAGATTAATCGATATATTCGTGGAGGTTATTTGATATATTTGTGGAGTATTATTTGATTTATTTGTGGAGAATATTTGATATATTCGGGAGATTATTTGATATATTCGTGGAGGTTATTTGATATATTCATGGAGAATATGTGATATATTGGGGAGATTAATTGATATATTCGTGGAGATTATTTGGTATATTCGGGGAGATTATTTGATATATTCGTGGAGGTTATTTGTTATATTCATTAGAATATTCGATTCATTCGAGGAGATTATTTGATTCGTTCGTGGAGATATTGTTCGGTTTATTCATGAAGATATTTGATTTGTTCGAGGAGATATTATCTTATTTATTCGTGGAGGTATTTGATTTATTTGTGGAGAACGAATATGATATTCAATCGCTTAGAGATCATGATACAAAGAAGATAACTTATGTGTTCTTGGTCCATCCAGAGTCGAAAAAGACACTTAGAGCATACTCTTGAGTCATTGGCATGGACTCCACGTACAGGACAAACAGGTACGAAATGCCTTTGTTCCAAATTACTAGCATGACTCCTGGTAATAATTTTTTTTTTTTTTTTTTGATTGCTTATGCAATTATTAAGGATGAGTCAGCTAATAGTTATCGATGGGTGTTGAAGAATTTACGAATTTTTATTTGGAATGATGTTGAGCCCACAGCCATTTTGACTAACATGGAGATGGGGTTGATGGCTCCCATTAAGGAACAATTTCCTCAAACTCCCCACTTGCTTTGTACTTTCCACATCAACAAGGATGTGGAGAACCAAGTGTACAAAAATTAGGTGGTAATAAAAAGGTAAATAGTCGGGATTACCCTTCGAGATTTAAAAGTGGCACATGGAGACTAGTATGGCAAGCCGACACCGTGGAGAAGTACGAAAAAGCCTTGGCAGACATGAGAGAAAAATTGCGTCCTTATCCAAAAATTTGGTCGTGCTGTCGTAAGCACCCAAATTAACCTTGCTTAAGAATATGTAGTAGTGTGAGCAAGGATCGTATCCACAAGGAGAAGTAAATGAAATCTATCAACAATGTGATTAAAAAGGGGGGATTTGATGTGATTAGCTAACTCAACTAAAATTACCTATCAAATAATAAATAAAAATAATAATAAAATAAAACTTAATAAGCGAAAATAAATACAATATGAATATGCCTTGGTTGAATTGATTTCCACCCTCGACTGTTCCACTGATCACTGATGAATAAATATAAACTCACAATTCACGCAACTATCAATGAATACAAATTCTTTCTCCTAATTTAGTCACGCAAAATAAATCCTTCTACGAGACTCTTATAACTAGTTAATTTCCAACATCGTGAAGAAATTTTCTAGCAATAGCATTAAATACAAGAGATCAACAGTCCAAGCAACAAATAACCAATTCGTTAAATATTAACTTGTTCAATTGTTTCGCCTAAGAACGACAACGCCTAAATCCGGTCAATTATCTATCTTAGTTGCCTTTAATGAAAGACACATGATCTAAATCCGACTCAAGTATCAATCAAGCAATAGATCGTACCTGAAGAATAACAGGTGGCCAATCCATCAACTACGCATAACAATCATAAAAATATGCACACGAAACATTGATGCTAAAAATATATGAATTGGAATAAAAACTAATTTGATCTCACAGTAGTAGGTATGGGGTTTCGATCGTCTCCAACCAAGACAAAGATAAATTAGCTGCGTAGGGCTATCATAATCCAAGAGAAAAGAAAAAGAAAAATAATGATAAAGATAGAGTGAATGAGAGCAGCCCTCTGATCTGCCGCCTCTGCTGCTTGCGTCCTTCTGCTCCCCCGGCAGATCTATTCTGCTTGCTGTTACGTATGATGTAAGTTTAGTATTCAACTGGGCTTAATTAATTTGGGCTCAGTTGAGAAGTTTGTTCCAGAATTACACCAACATAGCCATGTCACAGTATCAAGGCAAAACCAAGACTGCCATGTTAGTTGTATTTAATCTTGTAGTCAGAAGCTTAGCCTGATATGCTACGGCAGGACCTCTTAGCAATCCCCACTTATTCCTTGTTCAACCTCATCCATAATTTAATATGCTTAAGGACCTTCAAACTGCATAAAAAAACAAACAACGATAGTCTCTGCTCGATAATGCAAGATAATGTCAAACATATATCAATTGAACACAAATGTTAAATATAAATCATAAATTAATCCACTAAATCGACACATATTTTTGACTTATCAAACATCCCCAAGCTTAAACAGATGCTTGTCCTCAAGTATCAAGTCAAATCCATCATCTCACCTCATAGTCATCATCTATCTTCTAATGCCAACTCAAAAATATTTTGCATGCAACGAACAAAGGTTAAAGCTTAGTCCTCATCAACCGACACCAATAAAAATAAAATCAACAATCACATAACTTAAAACACATGAAATCAACACTTCTCACGAGATTCACTCTTGCACTCAAAAGTGTATAGCTAGATATTAAGCTTACACTCAGGTCAAGACATCGAAGATTTTTACCATAAGCTTGCAAAGATATCACATCCAACCACCCAAAATGAAAATGAATAAACACAAAATCAAAGGGTTAAAATCGGTTTGTAATAAGGCTTAAGGTAATGTGGGATATGAAAGATGTTGGCTAATGGAATCGAAGCAATCATACAAACTTTTCATAAATCGAGCTTAACCAAAATGTAAAGCAAGCTAATCATGCGATCACGATATGCATCCAACATAAAACGTAATCTAACACAATGCTCTTTCAGCTTTTTTTCTTTCTTTTTTTTCTTCTCTTTTTTTTTTCAATTTTTTTTATTCAAGGTTATGGCTCAAAGGGGCTTACTTGTGGTTTATGAAAAAGGGTAGGCTTCAAAAGAAAGGCTATAAAGAGAAAAGGCTAGTCCTAAGTACCCTTATTTTGATTTCATGAATCCACTTTCATCAAAGGTGTAAACATAGACATGTATAGCAAAGCAAGTTCTAGAAAAGCCAACTAGTCGAGACATCACACACTCAAGAAAATGGAGCATGATATTCAATATATGCTCATAGGCTCAAATCTTACTAATAAGAGGGTAATAAGTGTTAATCTCATGCATTCGTCCATCAAGTGATCATCAAGAAAAATTATTCACCGTGCAGTAACAAGGACTTCAAAATTATTTTTGCACACATAAGAAATCACGTTTGACGAACTGGCACCAGTAGAATCAAGAATAACCACAAGAGAAATAACAAATATGACTCAATACTATTCACGCACTCATGCAGTGACTGCTCTACTTCTACTAGAACCAAACTAAACATTTAAAATAAATCCTAAATGCAACCTACCTGAATACTAATGCAACTATACTATATAATCGGTACGAACACACATACATCCCCAAGCTTAAGTCCTTAAAATATATCATAATGAATGCAAAAGCATGAAGAGTATGTATATATATATGCTAGGTAGAGAGACTCACAAATTTATTCGCCAAGGAGGTTTTGGGATGGGTCTCAAAGATGCTATGAGTGCTCTTATTCGTCCAAGAAACCCTAAAGTCCATATACTTCATTCTTCTTAGCAACACCAGACTGCATTTTTAGAGGCCTACCGTTGAACCTTAACTTCCCACATTCTCCATAAAAGATGCATCT